ATTTTACTGATCTAATTAGAAGTCCATCTCATAATCCACTATGCTACCAGAGCTCCTTAAATATATTATATTTGTTATTGTTGTCAAGTGCCTACAAACCCAGTATAGGGTTTCAGAGGAGCAGCTGGTGGGTTTGAACCACAAACTTTTCAGTTCAAATAGACTTTGTGATTTAGTGCTTTATCCTGCAGCACTACACCAGGAATCCATATGTGTTATGAAACTCAGATCTTGAATTTTACTAGCTAAACTATTTGTGTAAATAGATTAAGAAAACCATTGAAATGATTTTCAGAATAATGGGTACCATGTTCAGGAATGCTTTAAAGAGTTTTAAAACCATGTTCACCTTTTTCTAATCACATAATAGCATCTTATCATTGATAAAATCCTTATGAGTTATGTTTTATGGTGAAAAATTAGAAAAGTAAAAAGAGAACTAAATAATTAATACCAAAGCTATTTGAGCTGAACAGTACTATCATTCCATTGTTTAAATATCCCCTTATTATGTACTCAACCATGTATACCCACAAAATATTATCTAGTTCTTTTGCTCTTTATCAATTTCCTATCTTTCCAAACAGCTGTGAAAAGTAAGTTTAAGGAAATGATTAGTACAGCTACTGAATTTAGCTGTACTAAAAAGATGACCACTAAGGCAATAGGAGCTCTGGTAGAGTAGTGGTTACGAATAGGGCAACAAACCGCAATGTCAGCAGTTCAAAACAACCAGCTGCTCCATGGGTGAAAGATGAGGCGTTATGCTCCCGTAAAGATTAACAGCCTCGGAAACCCTGTGCAGGACTATGAGTCGGAACAGACTCCACGGCACATAACAACAACAACAACAACAAGGCAATTGATGCAAGCGAATTCTTATTCAAAGCATTAATGACTTTGGAAACATATATATGCAGTATTTGTTTTTTCATTTATTCATATGTAAATCCTTACTGACCTAAACATTTTGAGATTTAATAGGCAAAGCTTTTGGGGAAAGTTATATCAAAATATAATAATATGATTTATTATATTGTAATATTATTATGACTTATATAAAAATATAAGCATAGAGGTGAGTTTGAAATTATTTTTTCTAGTTGTCCCAAGGCCAAAGTGTACAAGCCCTAGATGAATTCTTCCAAAACTAAATCAATTCCACATCCATGGAGTTGATTCTGACTCTTAGTGACCCTGTAGGACAGAGTAGAACTGCCCCATAATGTTTTCAAGGGTGTAAATATTTACAAAATCAGATTGTCACATCTTTTTCCTGTGGTCAGCTGGTGGATTCAGAATGCTGACGTTTTCATCTGCTGCTGTGTTTTAACCACTGCACTACCAGAGCTCCTTATGTAACTCTTAGAGTTTATCTTAATATTATCAAATGTGGGACTTTGCTTTTGAAGGAGCCAAGAGGAGCTTTTTTTTGTACTCTGATGAGAAACCCCCTCACCCTGCAAAACTGCATAAAAAATCAGTAAGGATAATAGGAGAGAAAATAATTTTCCTATTTAGGTCATCATTGACATTGCTTGGTATTTGCCCAATATTCCGTGAGAATAAGTATCAATTGATCTTGATTATGGTATGCTATTGTTCTTAAGTGCCATAATGTTGGTCCCAATTCTGTATAGGGTTTTCAAGGAGTGACCAGTGAGTCTGAATCTCTGACCTTGCAGTTCAGACTGACCTTGCAGTCGAGTACTTATCCTACAGTGTCACACCAAGACTCCTAAGTATAATATAAAGTGTTAAAAATCTCAAAGCAGAGACTTTGTCTCTTGTTCTTTGGACATATTATCAGGAGGAACTAGTACCTGGAGAAGGAGATTATACTTGATAAAGTGGAGGCTCAGCAAAAAATGAGGAAGATCTCCAATGAAATGGATTGGCACAGTGGCAACAGCAGTGGGCTCAAGATAAACAATGGTTGTGAGGTTGGCACAGGACTAACAGTATTTCGTTCTGTCAGTATATTTCATACTGACAGTATATAAGGTTGTTATGAGTCAGAATCAACTTGACAACACCTAACAACAAGTGTCCGCTGTCATACAGAGACAATAATAATATTTGCATAATATGGTTGTTCAGAGAGCTTAATGTGTTGGTAGATGTGAAGCATTAGCATTGTCTCTGGCATAAAATAAGCTCTTAAATAATTAAGACTCCTAGTGTGGCACTATAGGATCAATACAGGATGTCAAACCACAAGGTCAGTGGTTCAAACCCACAAACTGTTCCTCTGAATTCCTGTCCAGGGTCACTATGAGTCAGAACTGACTCCACGGCGCTTAAAAGTAACAACAATAATGAAGGCAAGGTCTTCTCCAAAAATGCTAAATAGCAGTAGTGATAAAAACGTAATCTAGTATTATTTTGGGCTTTAACATCCACCACTAAGTTTGATGTTCATTTTGTATAGAAGTCTATTTTTCTGTTAGGAAATTCCCATAGAATAAACATGCAATTCTAAAAAAACAGAAATCTAAAAGCAGTATTTATTGAAATCTTCTTCTGGAACACAGACAGGAGGTCAGATTGCTCCTCTTTGAAATAATCAACAACTTCAAGAAACTGTTGAAAATCTTCTCATGATGATCCTACACTCAATCCAGATGTGAACGATGACCTGTTATTGCATGAAATTTTTTACTTCTAAAATGAGGGAAACTTTATTTCTGAGCATTGCAAATGTCAATATTCTAGGAGTGCCTAGAATATTATTTTTGTTGAAAACATAATTCTGTAATTGCTTTCCTTCTTCTCAAGAGGATTTCACCTTAAAGATTGTCTGCTGGACTTGTGATCCTAGGAGACTATTGTACTCTTGCATCTCCATGGAGATCAAAGACTTAAGAACAAATCAAATTAGCACATACATGCCAAAGGCTTAAATGGTGGTAGAAAGGCATCTTACTATCTCTTTCTCACAGCAGAATCAGATAATTGTGACAATTTAGAGTTTCAGCCAAGAACCCCATCCTTTAGAGAAGAAGAAAGCTGAAATGGTTTGCCCAATATCAGAGACTGAGTTAGTGACACCAATGGAACACAAATCCACTCTCAGAATTTTCAAAAAGGGCTATATTTCTTCTTTATTTCCAGTAATTGTCATTTAATTTTTGAGGTAATAGGCAAATAAGATCACACTCTCAACAATTTCAGCCAGATTCTGGACCAGTAAAGTTTGACTGTGAAATTATCTCACATGACCAGAGAGGAAATAAAAATTAAATAAAAGTGACAACTCTTCTACCCTGGAAAGAATTCAAGTAAGTAGACAAAATTCTGAGTACAATTTACTAATAATTGATTTTGAAATGAAATCACTTAGGGAGAATTACATATTCACAATTTAATAAAACTATTGTTAATCAAAAAATATGTGTTTGTTACTTAAGTTAAAACATCTGAAGCTAGAGAAAAAAGTTTTCTGCTGTCTATTGGCTGTGCAGTAGTTGATGTACTAAGAAATAGTATCTTCTTCAGTTCCTTTATAATTATTCATTTTCATAGTCTACAAATTTCATACTATAACATATATATTTACATATATATATATATTTGTTGTTAGGTGCTATCGAGTTGGTACCAACCCATAGTGACCCTATGCACAGCAGAACAAAACACTGCCTGATCCTGGGCCAACCTCACAATTGTTGCCACACTTGAGTCCATCGATGCTGCCACTTGGCCAATCCATCTCATTGGGGGTCTTCCTCTTTTTCTCTGACCCTCCATCTTACCAAACATGATATCCTTCTCCAGCAACTGCTCCATCCTGACAATATGTCTAAAGTATGAGAGATGAAGTTTGGCCATCTTGGCGTCTAAGGAGCACTCTGGCTGCACTTTTTCCAAAATGGATCTATTGGATTCTTCAGGCACTTTCAATATTCTCCTCCAACACCATAACTCAAATGCATCAATTCTTCTAGAGTCTTCATTGTTCACTGTCCAGCTTTCACATGATATGAGGTTATTGAAAAACCAGGGCTTGGGTCAGGCGCACCTTAGTCCTCAAGCTGACATTTTTGCTCTCTCTCTCTATGTATAAATCCTTACTGACCTATACATATATATGTGTGTATGTAGATACATAGAGAGACAGATATATATATATATATAGTGTATACAAGGAGCTCTGGTAGCGTAGTGGTTAAGAATCGGGCAGCGAACCGCAAGGTAAGCCGTTCGAAACTACCAGGTGCTCCTCGGGAGAAAGACGAGGCTTTCTGCTCCCGTAAAGATTTACAGCCTCAGAAACCCTGTTCAGGGTCGCTGTGGGTTGGAACCGACTCGATGGCACTTAACAACAACAACAACACTGTGTGTATATTGTTGTTAAGTATATATATATATCATGTGTACTCACTCCTTTGAATCAGAGTTCTCCCAGATTAAGTTGGAAACATACTTAAGTATCTTTTGGAGCACCATGCCCTCTGCACTTCTCTTTAAGATTCTAAATATTGGCCCTTAATAGTACATTCCCTTAGTAGTTTTTCTTTGAGCAGTATTCTGTATTATGTGGGCATCAATAATTCTGTGCATACAAAAGGTCCAACATTAAACCTGAAATTACTTTCTTAAAACTTAATAAAGCATTAATGTTTTCAGTACTGAGGTTTACAGCACTGTAATATGTAGTCACAGTTCAACCCTTAACTTCTGAGTTCCAGTTTCTTCCAGACACTAATATAATCTTGGAGGGTACTCAAATATTGGCAGATTTTTCCTATAAAGATATTTTCCTATTATTTTAAAAATTATATTGTATTTAGATGTAATTTTTGTATACCTTCTGAAAGTCTTTAGTAAAACAGTCCTGATCTGAATTACATTAGTCACCACATTATTATTGACCACTTTTAAACAGTGCTAATGACTCACAACACTAATGAATCTTTTGCTAATCATAGGAAAGCAGCTTTCTTATTTCCTGTAATTTTTCTTTTTAATAGTTTCATATCCAATGTTTCCTGGAGGAAATGGCCAGACAAAATGATTCCACAGTAATTGAGTTTGTCCTGGAGGGACTGACAAAAAAACCTGAACTCCAACTGCCTCTCTTCCTTGTGTTTCTAGGTATCTATCTTGTCACTGTAGTGGGAAACCTGGGTATGATTCTCCTCATCACTTTCAATTCCAAGCTCCAATCACCCATGTACTTCTTTCTTGGTAATTTATCCTTCCTAGATCTGTTTTATTCCTCAGTTGTTACCCCAAAACTCCTAGAAAACTTTATATGGGAGAAAAATATCATTTCCTACAATGGATGTATGACTCAGCTGTTTTTCTTTTGTGTTTTTGCTATTGCTGAATGCTATATGCTGACTGCCATGGCATATGACAGATATGTAGCTATCTGTAGTCCACTGCTCTACAATGTGATCATGTCCCAAAAAGTCTGCAATATGCTCATGAGTGGAGTCTATATCATGGCAACTTCAGGAGCTATGGTCCACACTATCTTCATGACTAGACTTTCCTTCTGTGAAGATGTTATCCACCATTACTTCTGTGACATACTTCCTCTCTTAAAGCTCTCATGCTCCACTACCTACATCAATGAGCTTCTGGTGATAATTGGAGGCGGATTCAATATGTTAGTTACAACTGTGGCCATCATTATCTCTTATGCTTTTATACTCTCCACAATTCTTCGAATACCCTCATCTGAAAGCAGGTCCAAAGCATTTAGTACCTGTGGCTCCCATCTTACAGTTGTTGCTGTTTTATATGGATCCATGATATTTATGTACTTAAAGCCAGCATCCAGCAGTAATATGGCCCAGGAGAAGGTGGCTTCTGTGTTCTACACCACTGTGATCCCTATGCTGAATCCTTTGATCTACAGCTTGAGGAATAAAGATGTAAAGAATGTGCTCATTAAAGTCATGAGTTTGAGGTACTGACCACCCTAGGATAGTAATCAGAACTAATGAAAGTCATGGTAGAAGTCTGCTTCTTTCTTTTCTTAAAACTAACTCATCTTCCTCTTTCTTAAAATTGACATCTCAGTCTCATCCCTTACACTAGAGTTGAAGTCTGTGCACATACACATACATACACATCTGTTCCTTGAGTATAGTATTCCAAGATATTTGGATTCAGTGGATCCTTGATGTGGCTCACACATCTGTACTTTGAATAATTCTTTCTAGAGTATTTTTTTCCCTATTGAAAAAAGAAGATTCTGGGAAGAATTATAAATCCAGGGCTTATCGAACAGAGAACACCAGGAGTCCTGATAACTATAAGATTATGCTACCCTAGATAATTCTATTATAATTAGAAATAATTATATAAATAATATAATTATATAAATATAGTGAATTTTTAGTATCCGCATACTTAGTACAGTTCTTGAACATCATTAATCCTCATGGAACTGGTCCTTCTCACAATTCTCCTGACTTCCCTGCCAAATTCTAACTTGATCTTCAAATGTCTACTACTATTATATGAATTTTCTTTGACTGCTTTCTCTGCAAAAAAAAATTGTGTTCATTTCCCCACAAAGTAATTTAGTAACTCTTCTTCTCACTGTCATGGGAAAGTTGACATTTAGTCACCTAAAGAGGGAGCATTCATTTCAATGTGGACATCATAAGATTTCTCTTTGTCTCCACAAAGTTTTCTAAATTAAACACAGGACTGTCTGATTACATAAGTTAACTGTGCTGACCAAGAAAAGAACATATTATTTTCTAAACAAGTGCAAACACAGACATGTCTATCAAAAAGTGCCAACTCTCCTCTGAGATCCTACTTCTTGCATCACTATCTTGAGGATTCAACACTAAAATTGTATCAGGTCACACTGCCCAGAACACTGGAGCAAAATATGGACAGTTTATACAAACATTACATGGGCAAGTGAAGTTTGAGATTCTGCATGTCTACTAAGCTTTCCAGTAACATCAGTGCTATTGGGGCATGAATCACACTTTGAGTAGGAAGCCTAGACTTTATGGAACAAGGAATGAGATGAATCCATCAATAGAGCTATTAGGAAGGAGAGACTGATCTTAACAGACTTAGAGTCTGGGACTATGAATATCAATACCAGACTTAAAATGCAAACTTAATGGTTGCTGATCTGTCCTAATGAGTCCCTGGGGGATTCCAATGTGAATGTGCTCAGCTAGTTACTAACCCAAAGGCTGGAGGTTCAAGTCCACCCAGAGGAACCTTAGAAAAAAGACCAACAACCTGCTTCTGGAAAAGTAGCCAGGGACACAAGGAGGAAGTAGGGTAAGTGATGTTTCATTGTGAAGACTGTAATCAATGACATGAAACAAAATGTGTATGAATAGAAAACTGAT